AGAAGGGGACAAGGAAGCTGGTGATAGGGAACCCAAGGCTGAGTAAGGATATGGTTGATGTGTTGTGAGATTGTTAACCATTGTCATAGGGCAACGTTTGTAGTAACTGTTAAATGAGAAACTATTTTGTTCTGTAAGGCTTCATCTTAAGTGAGAATAATAGCACAATTTGAAGAGCATAGTCAATGTCACTGAACGGTGCATGCAGAAATTTTTGAAATGCTGTATCTTTGGCTATGTGTATTTTCACCAAAAACAAAAAAGGTTGAGAAGTTAGAGGGTTGATATGTTGTTGAGTTGTTAACCAATGTCATAAAACAACATGTGTACTTCTGTTTCATGAGAAACTATTTGTTCTGTATGCCTTCACCTGAAGTACAATAAAAAATTAAAAAAAAGAACTGTCTATTCTCCCTCCTGAATCATTCTCAATTTTTTCCTCTCTGCTATTCCTACTGCTAAAGCTTAGGTCCTCATCATGCCTTAGTTGGAATACTACAACAGTCACCCCTTCCAATATGATCACCCCTTCCAAACCATCATTTCTTTGCTGTAAGAGTGATTGTTGTAAGATACAAATCTGATCATGCCCACTTCTGTGAAGAAATGCGATGACGGTTAAGAAACTTGGCTGGCTAATGCAAAAGTTTCACAGAACTCTTGACACAAAAGTATATCAATCCTTACCCTCCACCCCCATCAGTACAGAATATCTATACTTTAGACTTCCACCAAAGAAGACAATATTGTCTGTCATTTAATTCTTGTGAAAAATCTATAAGACAGTAGGAGATGTAAACAATTATTGGAAGGAGACATGATTATTTGATAGCTATAGACTTTTTCCTTGTATCTTAAAAAGCTCAGAGCCAAAATCTGGCTCAGTGAAAGCATCTGACTCTTTATTCTTATGATTTATTTATTTTTGTTCTATTCTCTTTTTTTGCAATCTATACATCCTATTTAAATTTCCATTTCCTTAGTCCTAACTTTCTTTTTTACAGCTTTATTGAGTAATGATTCATATACTATACAATTTACTCATCTAAAGTATAAAATTCAATCATTTTTAGTATATTCAGAGTTCTGAATATACTAAACCAATTTTAGAACATTTTCACCAATCCCAAAAGAAACTGTACCCATTAGCAGTCAATCCCCATTTCTTCCCAACCTCTCCACTTCTCCCAGCCTTAGGCAACCACTAGTCTACTTTCTGTCGCTATAGATTTCACTATTCTGGACACTTCATACAAATGGAATCATAAAATATGTGCTATTTTGTGACTGGTTTCTTTCACTTAACATAATATTTTCAAGATCCATGCATGTTGCAGCATGTATCAGTATTTTGTTCATTTTTATTGTGAAATAATATTCCATTGTATAGATGTATCATATTTTATTTATCCATTAATCAGTTGGTGAACATTTGGGTTGTTTCTAGTTTTTGGCTACTGTTATGGATTGAATTGTGTCCCCCCAAAATATGTGTTGTAAATCCTAACCTCTGTGCCTGTGGCTATAATCCCATTTGAGAAGGGGTTGTCTTTGTTTTGTTAATGAGGCAGGATTAGCATAGGGTGTGTCTTGTGTCAATCTCTTTTGAGATATACAAGAGATTCAACAAGCAAGTGAGCAAGCAGAGATGGGGGAAGATAGATGCCAAGACACATGGAGATCTCCAAGGAACCAAAAAACAGAAGCTGAAGAGATAAGGACCTACCCCTTAAGCCGACAGAGAGAGAAAACCTTCCTCTAGAACCGGCACCCTAAATTTGGATTTCTAGCCTCCTAAAGTGTGAGAAAATAAATTTCTGTTTGTTAAAGCCATCTACTTGTGGTATTTCTGTTATAGCATATAGCAGCACTGGATAACTAAGACAGCTATTATCAATAATGTTGCTGTGAACATTTATGTACAAATTTTTATGTGGATGTGTGTTTTTATTTTTCTTGGGTGTATATACCTAGGAGAAAAACTGTTCGGTTATACGCTAACTCCATGTTTAACATTTTGAAGAACTGTCAGACTGTTTTCCAAAATGGGTTCACCATTTTACATTCCCACCAGCAGTACACGTACAAGAGTTTCAATTTCTTCACATCTTTGCCAATACTTGTTATTATCTGTCTTTTTTATTCCAGCCATCCTACTGGCTGTGAAGTGGTATCTCATTGTGGTTTTGATTTGCATTTTCCTAATGACTAATGAAGAGCCCTGGTGGCACAGTGTTTAAGAGCTCGGCTGCTAACCAAAAGGTTGGCAGTTTGAATCCATCAAGTTGAGCATCTTTTTTGCTCAACTTATTGGTTTACTGGCCATTTGTATATCTTTGTTGGAGAGATGTCTATTCAAATCCTTTGCCCATTGTTTAATTGGGTTATTTGTCATTTTATTGTTGAGTTATAAGAGTTCTTCATATATTCTGGATTGAAGTTCCTTATCAGATTGATGATTTGCAAATACTTTCTCCAGTTCTGTGGGTTGTCTTTTCACTTTCCTAATGATGTCTCCTAATTTTGTTTTTCAACTTGCATGTATTGTCTTTAAGCTCTTTCATTCTTTGAGGATGAAGCTGTTAAAAATTCTCATTTTATGTTACACTCCAACTTAAAACCTTTCAGGGCTCCATCACGTTCAGGATGGAATCGTAATCCCAGCCTTTGAAGCCGTTCATGATCCTGGCTGCAACCACCTCTTGAACTTAGATCCTGTCTCTCTCACTTATACCTTCGGTCTACATGCCTCAAGCCTTGATCTTCCCCCAGTAATCTGTTTCTCCTCAGTCTTTCCATCTTAAAAGTGGCAACTCTATCCTAATTGGTTAAACCAAAATCTTCATCAGCCTTAACTCCCTTTCCTTACACCCCACCATTCAATACATCAACAAATCCTGTTAGTTCTACTTTCAAAATATATCTAAAATCTGACCACACCTCACCACTTCTATTCTTAACCACTCTGGTCCATGATCCAATATCTCTTGCCTGAATTAGGGGAATAGTCTCCTAACAATTATCTCCCTGATTCCATGCTTGCCTCTATTCTCAACAAAGCAGCCAGAGTAATTCTTTTAAATCATAAGTCATTTCATGTCAGTCTTCTGCTTAAAATCCTTCAAAGGCTTCCTTCTCATCTCACTCATATTGGCCTGTTGTTGTTGCTGCGTGCCATATCCCGTAGACTCGATTCCAACTCACAGCAACCCTATATGACAGAGTAGCACATTAAAGGCCTCCTGCTTCTCTCTCTTTATCTCCAACCTTTCTCTTCCTCCTTCACTCCACTCCAGAAATCCAGGCCTTCCTGCTTCAGGGATTTGCTCTGGAATGCTTCTTTTCTGGAATGCTCTTTTCCACACAGCTTGCTCTGTTACCTTCTTTAGGTCTCTACTCAAATGCTACCTTTTCAATGATGACTTCCCTTACCACAATATTTAAAATAGTAAGCCTTCACTCCATACTCCCTTATCCCCCATCTTGTTTTATTTTTCTCCACAGCATTCATCATCACACAACACAGTATAAATTTACTTGCTTTTTTGTTTACTGTCTATCTTCCCCAACCAGAATGTGAACTCATTAAGGGCAGAGACTTTTTAAAAAACAATTTTGTTTACTATTATTTCTCCAACAACTAGAAAAATCCTCAATAATGAGTGAATAAACTAAATAAACAAAGATTGAGTGAAACTGAGTGAAGTGTTTGCGTGCCAACAGTCAAACCTGCTATATAATTACTAGAACACAGGGTTTTCAGAAGTACAGCAACTTAAAAAGTTTTAGTTCTTACGTTTTTCTGTAGCATTTCTGATAGTCTTCTGAAGAAGTACCTAGGAAAGAGAAAAGTCAAACAATCTATCAGAAATATAATTTGAAGACAGACTAGAAGCTAATATTACTCTAGGAAAAAATAAATATTTCCCTCAAAATACACGGTGATAGTTGCAGTTTACTTTTTCTTATTTATTTATTGTCTGGCACTTAAATTAGAAGTATTTTCAAAGTACCAAAGTAAAACAAAATTGTTGCAAAATTTTATGAGATGTACCATAGCCTCCGCTGGCCTAAGCCCAGAAAAACTAGATGGTGCCCAGCTTCCACCACCAACTGCTCTGACAGGGATCACAATAGAGGATCCCAGACAGAGCAGGAGAAAAATGTAGAAGAAAATTAAAACTCACAAAAAAGACCAGACTTACTGGTCTGACAGAGACTGCAGCCCCCAAGATTATGGCCCCCGCACACCCTTTTAACTCAGAACTAAAGCCACTCCCAAAGTTCACCCTTCAGCCAAGGATTAGACAGGCCTATAAAACAAACAATAACACATGGGAGGAATGTGCCTCTTAGATCAGTCAAGTATATGAGACCAAATGGGCAACACCTGCCCAAAAGCGAAGGCAAGAAGGCACAGGAAAACTGGACAAAAAGAAACAGGGAACCCGGAGCGGAAAGGTGGAGAGCGCAGACACATTGTGGGTATTGCAACTAATATCATTAAAAAAACTGTATAAATTTTTGAATGAGAAACTAATTTGCTCTATAAACTTACACCTAAAGCACAATAAAATAAAAAAAAAATTTTATGAGATACAGGAATCTGCCACTTTATATTTGGATAGTTCTTTGTAATTTTCAAAGTCTTTTACATTTATTACATCACTTAATCCTTACAACAATCCTGTCAGGCAAATAGACCAACTTATTATCCCCATTTTACATATAAGAAAGAGATAACTAGTCAAGTTACAAAGCTAGTAGCTGGATAACTGGAACTTAAGCCCAGGTTTCAAGGTTCTTCGTCCAGCACTGATACCAAATATATAGATATGCATATCAGTAGATTGATTAGTCAAGAGAATGCCTATCACTCAACATTTAACTGCCTAAGGTACACTAAGATACACTCAGGTACACTAGGAATACAAAGAACCATGAGAGTAGTCTTTTTAAGAAGTTATAACGCTTAGCAGCTGCAACATTCTTCTTACATTAGATTAGAATAAAAAATGCCAACAGTTAGATGAGGTAAAATGAACGATGTCTCCCAATTATTACAGAGGATTTCCTTGAGAGGGAGATTCTGAAAATGTAAAGGATTACAGCAGACACTTAATCATCCAACATCTTGTCTCTGCCTTTGCTGGAAATAGTCCCTTGATTTTTCTTCTAATGGTCCAGGCATGTGACTCAATGCATCTCACTGGCCAAAGTGACTATTGAGGGATAGGCATATGGGCTAATTTAAGCCAACATGCAAGGCCCAGGACTTCTAGTCAAACAGTTGGGAAAGAGAAGCTCCTTTTTCACTGGATTTGAGGCTATGAATATGAAAGCCTGGAACTGGAAAAAGTTATGAAGGGAGCTTGGCTGAGAGTGTAACCCACACGGATGGATCCTGGACTGAGTGATGGAGAGGAACTGAATCCTACTGATATCATTTAAGACCCTGGATCAAGTTGTATCTGAATCTAATTTAGTGCTGGATTTTTCAGGTGCATGTGGTAATAAATGCCCTTATTAACCTAATATAGTTTAGTCAGGTTTTCTGTCATTTGCATGGACATAGAACCTAACCAAAACACTTGCTAAAGAGACAGGCTGCTTCTTTGGCACTTTATTTTAGCAAAGGAGCTGTCAAACTAAACATAATACAGTAGGAAAGGTCCCAAACACTAAAATATTACCATCCAGACAGCTATTAACTCTCCCATAAGAGAGCCCAATCCAGTGCTTAGTTTTTTGGCTGATATTCCTGTTCAGTGTGGCAGGTTCTGGTAGGTTGGCTGACAACATCCAAATATTCATTCCTACCTCTTTCCTCCACCTAGTTTTCCATTCTCCCTTCTCTTCAACTGCTATAGAAACTAAGAATGCAAAATATTTGGTTCCCCAGCCTCCCTGACAGTAGATGGACATATGCCCCAGTTTTTCTGGTAAACGGACCTAAATAGAAGCTTCTGGGAAAGCTTTTGTACTTTTGATAAAAAGAGGCATGCAGAGCTGGTACTGTCCTTTCTCATTCTTTCTACCTAGAACATAGCTGTGATGCCTGGAAGTTTAGCAACCATCTTACTACAGCTATGAAGAAACTAGCTAACACAACTTGGTAGCAGGAAGACAGAAAGAGCCTAAGACGTTGGCAATATTATTATTGACCTGCTAATGAGCCCTGGACTGATATGAGAGAAAAGTAACCCGATATAATTAAAAAAAAAAAAAAAAGTTTTTACATGACAAAAAAGACCATAAACAAAAAGACAACTGACAAATTAGGAGAAAATATTCACAACATATACCACAGAAAAAAGGCTGATGTCCTTAATATATAAAGAACTCTTAAAAACAGATGGTCAAAGCACCAAATATCCAACAGAAAAATGGGGAAAAGACATAAACAGAAAACTCACACAAAAACAAAATAAAAATGGCACTCAAATATATAAAAAGTATGTAAAATGTAAATGCAAATTTTTAGAATCTGAGGTGCTGGCATATCTGAATTAGGTGGTTTCAGAACTAAAATTAAAAACTTCATTCTTAAGTAAACCGAGAATTTCATTTCTACTCTCCTAAGAAATATTTGGCCTTCTGTTAAGGTTTTACTGATTGAAAAACCAAAAAGCCCAGTGCCTGTTAATAATGTTTACGGATCTGGCCCCAGAGGTGACTTACTGATAACTAAAATGAAGTCAGAACCTAGAAATAACTTTATACTCAAGATAGGAACATAATCAACTTTACCCCTGTTCCCAATCCTAAATTAATTTTCACTCATTCAGTCCTTAATTTTTGCAGTGAAAATTTTTGATTTTCACTGCAATCTACTAAACCAAAAAAAAAAAAAAACAACCCATTGCCATCGAGTGGATTCTGAGTCATAGTGACCCTATAGGACAGAGCAGAACTGCCCCACAGGGTTTCCAAGGAGTGGCTGGGGGATTTGAACTGCTGACCTTTTGTTTAGCAGCGGAGCTCTTAACCACTTTGCCCCTAGGGCTCCCTGCGATCTACTAGGTCTCTGTAAATTACTAACTAGGTATAAACTAGGTTTGTTAGAATAAGTTGGCAAATCACAGCTGTAAAAGTTTCGACTGTCTGTAACCCAAGAGTGCAGAGATTTGGGCCTTAACTTACGTAAATAAACTTACTGTATTAACTTCATTGTTGTTAGATGCCCTCTGAGTCAGTTCTGACTCATAGCGACTCTATGTACAACAGAAAGGTCTTGCACTATCCTCACAATCATTGTTATATTTGAGCTCATTGTTGCAGAAACTGTGTCAATCCATCTTGTCAAGGGTCTTCCTCTTTTTCGCTAACCATCCACTTTACCAAGCATGATGTCCTCCAGGGACTGGTCCCTCCTGATACATGTCAAATGTGTGTGACACAAAGTCTCATCATCCTCGCTTGCAAGGAGGACTCTGGCTGTATGTCTTCCAAGACAGACTTGTTCATTCTTCTGGCAGTTCATGGTATATTCAATATTCTTCACCAACACCATCATACAAAAGCATCGAGTCTTTTTCAGTCTTCTTTATTCACTATCCAGCTTTCACATGCACAGGAGGTGACTGAAAATATGACGGCTTGTGTCAGGTGCAACTGAGTCCTCAAAGTGACATCTTTGCTTTTCAACACTTTAAAGAGGTCTTTGGCAGTAGATTTGCACAATGCATTATGACATCTGATTTTTTTTATTGTGCTTTAAGTGAAAGTTTATAATTCAAGTCAGTTTCTCATACAAAAATTTATACACATATTGCTATGTGACCCTAGTTGCTCTCCCTATACTGTGACAGCACACTCCTCTTTTCCAGCCCTGATTTCCCATGTCCATTCAACCAGCTCCCAACCCTCCTTGCCTACTCATCTCGCCTCTGGACAGGAGCTTCCCATTTAGACTCATGTATCTACTTGACCTAAGAAAGCACACTCCTCACGAGTATCACTTCATGTCCCATAGTCCAGTCTAATCTTTGTCTGAAGAGTTGGCCTCAGGAATGGTTTCAGCTCTGGGCCAACAGAGAGTCCGGGGGCCATGTCTTTCAGGGTCCCTCCAGTCTCAGTCAAACAATTAAGTCTGGTCTTTTTATTAGAATTTGAGTTCTGCAAGCCACTTTTCTCCTGCTCCATCAGGGACTCTCTGTTGTGTTCCCTGTCAGGGTGGTCATTGGTAGTAGCTGGGCACCATCTAGTTCTTCTGGTCTCAGGCTGATGGAGTCTCTGGTTTATGTGGCCTTTTTTGTCTCTTGGGCTAATATTTTCCTTGTGTCTTTGGTGTTCTTCATTCACCTTTACTCCAGGTGGGTTGGGACCAATTGATGATGCATCTTAGATAGCCGCTTGCTAGCTTTTAAGACCTCAGGTGCCACTCACAAAAGTGGGATGCAGAACATTTTCTTAATAAACTTTGTTATGCCAATTGACCTAGATGTCCCCTGAAACCATGGTCTCCAGATGTCCTCCCCTGCTACTCTGTCCCTCAAAGTGTTTGGTTGTACTCAGGAAACTTCTTAGCTTTTGGTTTAGTCCAGTTGTGCTGACTTCCCCTGTAGTGTGTGTTGTCCTTCCTTTCACCTAAGATAATTCTTGTCTACGATCTAGTTAGTGAATACCCCCTCCCTCCCTCCCCACCCTCGTAACCATCAAAGAATGTTTTCTTCCGTGTTTAAACATTTTCTTGAGTTCTTATAATAGTGGTCTCATACAATATTTGTCCTTTTGTGACTGACTAAATTCACTCAGCATAATGTCCTCCAGCTTCCTCCATGTTGTAAGATGTTTCACGGATTCATCATTCATCGTTCTTTATTATTGCATAGTA